GAGTAGACCATTGATAAATGTATTTGTTTTGTAAGGGGATGGGGGAAGCCACATTTTCTAGTTTTCAATATACTTTTATAAAGTGAGCAATTACTTTGATGAAATTGCAGTTGTGTTAACGTCTCGTAAAGTATTTTGCTTCTCCACAAGGGATTATTCAGTGTTAATCATTCAATGCATACAATCAATGAAATCTTAGTAGGCCAAGGTTAACTCTTGTGATACTCGTAAAACAACCCCAACAGATACCACTCTACAAATAAAGGACGGTGTGGGGATCTACTGTGATGGTGAGAAAAGCCCTGAATATCTGATTTGTGACTAAAATGTGGAGCGGGATAGGAAGAAAAAAGGGAGAACATGAGGGCCAGCCAGAGTTGAAGAAGACTCTGGAGTTACATTTTTAATCATTAAGTTACTGGTTTAACAACAAGAGAAAAAGACATGTTCTGGCTGTTAACTTCAGAAGCCTAGGGCTTCTTGGACAGGAGATACAAAGAAAAACTAAGAGACCAAGAAGGAAGAGAGTGAACATGATCGGTCATAGTGTTAACATCAATGACTTGTGGATATTAAAGCCAACAGTGGCAGATGCAAACTAGAGATGGTGGTAACAATTTTCTGATGGACTTTAGAGTAGTGACCAAGGTAGTTGGATGGAGATAAATGTCATGAAGACATATGTAGAAGAGCTCTTTATTTCAGCAGGAAGGAGCACCGAGGTCCAAAGGGCAAGATCACAAGGCATCGCCTCTGTGAGAGTTTTCAACATGCAGATGAGTGATGTCACCAGTTTGAAAAGGCTACTGCCCCCTCTTCCCAGCCTTGATTCTGAGGGCAGATACTTGTAACTTGAGAAAGTTCTCTCCCTTCCTCCTTTGGGAATCACTCCTCTATTCTGTGGGTTTTGCGACTGTATAAAAAATATCTGCTGGTATCTTAAAATAACTGCTAAGGATATTATGTGAATGTAGAACCTGTAACACACACTGGTCATTCATTTGGCCCTAGTTACCATCCATCTGCGTCTGAATATCCCAGGCATATCTGTAGCAGATTGTAACATGTTCGGATCACTGAGAAGTACAATAGTACATTGTAGACAGACAGACATATTTTAACTTAAAATCTTAAAATAGATGCATTGGAATGGATGCTCTTATCTCCCCAGAATATTTTATTTTCCTGAAATGTTTCATTCTTTACCGATTTTTAGGTAGGGAGGTATTTTGCTTTATCAATCTGCTTTCCAGCTGTTTGGGATTTAATATTCCACATAGATGCATACGTTTTCTTCGTAAATAATGACACAAACAGGTTACATAATTACAGACATAAAATTATCTCATCTTGCTAAAAATAATACAGTAACAGGATGAATATGTGTATCATCTTTATGAGTAAGCCATATTTTTATTAAAATACTAAGATCCATACTATGACCACACTTATGGGTTCATTGTCTACTTTTTTGAATCAAACACTCTGGCCTTTGATTTCTTGTAGTTATAGATATATGGAATTGGCAATGTTGATTGAAATATAATACAGTCCCTTTAGCTTTGGTACTTTAGGAAAACGTTCCTCTGTCCAGTAAAACATTTCTCAAACCCATGTAAAAACAGCAGTGTAAATATCATTTCCACAATTAAATGAGTGAAGTAAAACTCATTTGTGTGACTATCAGGCCTTTAAAAAAGTGTGCAGTTTGAAAAAACAAGTGGAGGTGATTATATAGCAGAACAAACATCTGTCTCTTTCCTACTATCCCTGTACTATGTATAGGACTTGCTTAATTAGAAAGAGGAAGACATGAGGGAATATGGTCCAAAAGTTTGGAGAGCAGTGAGGGGCATCAGGGCCTGGATGATAAAGCCGGACTTCAGTGGATTCTGTCTTAACTGTCTAGAGATTGAATTATTGTGTAGTAAGTCATCAATACTGAGTGGAAGCCTTGGAAATGTTGGCTGGACCTTGACTACAATTGGAGAATAGCAATTTCTGTAAGGTTGACTAAATCATAGTAAGATCATCTCAGATATGATGAGCAGCAGTGGTTAAGAAGGCAGTCTCTGGAGTCTGTCTGCCCGGGTTTGAATCCTGGCAGGCTGTCTAATCTTGGTTTTCTCATCTATAAAATGAGATGACAAAAACATTATTTATTCCCAAGGTATGTTGTGAGGATTAAATGTCAGCCACTGCTATTGTTGTTGTTAGGAGGGGAGTGAAATGGATTTCGGTTTTGTACACAAAAAATGGATTTGCTTTGTAGAAGTAATCTAATATAAACTGAATAGAAATTAGGTGAAAGGGAAGAGTAAGTGTTGTTATTTTGTGAGTCCTTGTTTTTGTTTATGCTGTTATCACAGAATACCTGAGACTGGGTAGTATATAAAGAACAGATACATATTTTCTGACAGTTCTAGAAGCTTAGGATGTCCAAGATGAAGGTGATAGAATTTCATGAGGGCTCTCTTGCTGTATCCTCTGGAGGGAAGAATGCCATGTCCTCACATGGTGAAAGGTAGAAGGGTAAAGAGACAAAAGGTGGCCAAACGTGTATTTTTTTTTTTTTTTGAGACAGAGTTTTGCTCTTGTCATCCGGGCATGATCTCGGCTCACTGCAACCTCTGCCTCGCCTCCTGGGTTCAAACGATTCTCCTGTCTCAGCCTCCTGAGTAGTTGGGATTACAGGTGTCTGCCACCACATCCAGCTAATTTTTTTGTATTTTTAGTAGAGATGGGATTTCACTGTGATGGCCAGGCTGGTCTCGAACTCCTCACTCAGGTGACCTGCCCTCCTTGGCCTCCCAAAGTGCTGGGATTACAGGCATGAGCTACCATGCCTGGCCCCAGACTTCCCCTTTTATAATGGGATTAGCTTACCCATGAAGGCACAGCCCCCAGAGCCTTATCACCTCCCAAAGTTCCCACCTCCTAATACCGACACAATGGCAACCAAATTTCAACATGAGCTTTGGAGGGGACATTCAAACTGTAGAAGTCCTCATATAGGAGCCACAACACAAACCTTAGAAAATTTTGAGCTCCCTGGAACAAATGGAAGAGCAGAGGAGAATATCCTTCAGGATTACAGGGAGCAAGTAGATGAGAAGGATCAAGTAGAGACTTTCACAAGATTGAGGACACCTGTGTATGTTTGAAGCTAGAGCTGGAGAAACCAAGGGAGATCATCCAAAATGTGATTATACCCACAGGCCCTTTTCCACAGAAAGGTACTAAAAGTCCCCTGTCGACATCAGTGAAACTTTACAGTATTACATAGTATTAAAGTTATTTAGTGCAGTAGTAGTAAAGAATTTGGCAACTGAAATGAGCTAATTGCCCTCTTGATAACCTGTGAAAACGTTACTATCTTACGGTAAGTGCTCATCTGTTTAGCAGGGAGTAATGAAGGTACTGTGGAGAAAGGGGCTTCAGGTAATTAGAACTTGGAATTAGCCATGTCTGTTGTGAATAGCTGCGATTGTAGGCAGATTTTGCAACAGTATAAAAAGTGGTAACAAATATAATTTAGTTACTCTAAATGTAATTCTTAGTACAGGGGAGATAACAGATCTGTTTAGATCAGCTTCTGTTTGTGAAAAGAAAAACGTAAACTATTGATTCCAATTTGATGAGCACTGACAATGGTTATAGCTGTGTTATTTTGCATAGCTATGTAACAGAGGAAACAAATACATAGAGAAGATAAATGAGAGAGCCCCAGACTGAAACACCTCTCACTGGGCTTTACTTTCACTGCTGATGACACTAATCCTTTTACTTTACTCCAGCAATAATTTAATGTTTTGTTTTGCACACTAGACTCCTTATAGTATTAGGAAGAATTCCAAAGGTAAAGAAGAACCTTCGTCAATACTATATATGTAATTGCTAGTAAATTTTCTTTTAATATTGCCTGTGCCAAATTTTAGAAAATGTAATAATCGAAGCTAGTATGCAAGCAGTAGCTTCTGTAATAAAATAATTTTATATTATGTACCATGATGTAAACCTTATTGCTTGCTTTGATTTATATGCAAATATTTCTTTTTCTTATAGTTTATACTGCCTTCAGCTGCTATCTTAGTTTTTGTGCTCTAGACACTCTCCATTTTTTCCATGATTACCACAATAAAATAGGCAAGCAGGAAAAATTATGGCTACTTCCTGTCTCATTTTGTGTATTTGTTTCAGTAGCAGTACCAATTTTTTAGGCAACCAGTGTTGCCAATGTCATGAATTTACAGTAAACCTGTGGAATTTACATATATACAACATAGATGTCATGCTGGTGAATTCAACTTATAAGCCATGGAATAGAACTCTTGCAGCGAGGCTATTAGTTTCAGGTAATTTAAATCTCAGTGGGAACCAAGAAATGGATTTTGAATTAATATATTTTTTAAGTCTTCAAAGATAGGAGATTGTAATATTCTGAGTGAAAAAAAAATTATGGGTGTTTTTTTTTAAGGTAAAGAGGTTTAAATTTAATGAAGTGATTAAAAGTAATTTCAAGATTTATTTTCCCTCTATAAACATTGTTTTATGTTGATTTAAAGGAAATTGGTTAAAAAAATTAGGCTTCTTTTCAATATAATGCCAAATAGAGCTAAACATATCTTTCAATGTTTAGAACTTTTTTAAATGGGAGGAATGTGAAATGACATGTTTCTGAGGACCTGCACAGAGCCTGATATAATTAATTCACCAATCCCATTGTTGATTAGGATGGTAGATATTACTTTTTTTTTTTTTTTTTTTTTTTGAGACAGAGTCTTGCTCTGCCCCCTGGCTGGAGTGCAGTGGCATGATCTTGGCTCACTGCAACCTCCACCTCCCAGGTTCAAATGATTCTCCTGCCTCAGCCTCCCAAGTAGCTGGGATTACAGGTGCCTGCCACCACGCCCACAATCTTTTTGTATTTTTAGTAGAGACGGGTTTTGTCATGTTGGCCAAGCTGGTCTCGAACTCCTGACCTCAGGTGATCATCCTGCCTTGGCCTCCCAAAGTGTTGGGATTATAGGCATGAGCCACCGCACCTGACCCTAGACATTACTTTTAAAGGATATTTTACACTACTTTTTCATCAGGAAAAGTTTATCTTGATAAAATGTTTTTCTAATTTTGTAACTTAAAGGAAAATGTGTAACTATTTTAAAGTATAGATAGTAATAATAATCTTATAGCTAATTTTAAGACTCTGCCACTCAGGTGTTATAATTGTTAACTCCTTCTCACACATTTGTTTTCTAACATTAATGATGTGTGGCAGAGATCATCAGTTATATGCTGATCATTTGCATTGTCATATCACCTAGGGCAAACTTCTCACACCTGTAACCTGGAATGATAATAATTTGTTTACTTCTTTATCTTTTAGGACACTGTGGAATATGTAAAGGTTAGAACTTGGTTTATATTTCTATTCCAAACAAATGTTACAGAGTGTTTGATATTCAGTTATTAGCCAATAAAATCTAGGAAGGCTCCTACAAGAAACATTTAAAGGGTCTGGCAAGACCTAGGGCCCACCGCCACCCATCCCCCAAAATGTTTTGAGCAAAATTAACACCCGTATTATTATTGAAGAATTATGTAAATTGTGTATGTCAAATTATAAGTCAGAAAATTGAAATGTACACGTGGAATAGTTAACATCTTTTTGTTTCTACTATTTCAGGCAATGTCATTTCCGAGAGGAACATTTGTTACTGTGTGCATGTTCTATTAGTACTGTAAGCCCCTTTATATTAAGGCTGTGTTTAGTTTTTATATTCCCATTATGCCTGTTACCTAACATTGCCAAGAATACAATAGAGGCTCATTAAAATTTTGAATGCATGATCACTGTATGTTGTTGTCAGCACACCCTCCCAACTCTCCCATTAGATGACAAGCAATTTGAGGGTAGCACCCAAGTATTAGTCATTTTAAAATTCTTTTCTCTTTCACACTCAATACCGTGCCACATGTATAGTAGGTGCGTGTGTTGAAGGTTTTCAGGCGAATACCCACAGGACTCTGAATATCGTTTTACTAATGGTTAAAATTTATTAGAGTGACATAGTAGAGGTGCAAGCCAGATCATAGGAGAAAAGATACAGGTGGAGTTTGGAGGAGTCCATTGGTAGGCTGCCTTATGCTGTGTCCCTCCCACCAGGGGTCACATAGAATACTTTTTTCCTCCAGCAGTGAAAATACAGCAATATATGTGTGATGCACCTGCCCAGGGAAGCCCATTAGACAGTCAGTGCCCGAGGTTTTTATTGGGGGCTGGTTACGTAGGCACACTCTCTTTAGCATATACCAAGATTTCACACTCCCCAAAGTAAAGCAGATGTTCAGTATAGGCTGCATTGTTTGTATAAACATGCATAGTAAACCATCTTTATCAGCTAAAAGCAATGGTAACACTCCCCAAAATCCAAGTTCCCAGATACCAGCCAAGGGCCAACTTTGCATGCAATCCTTTCTATAAATGGCAGTAGTAGGCTTGCTCTGTCTACTTTTCTGCATAGCCTGGCTTTGTGTGAATACTGCTTTGGGTTGGAGAACGAAACTGTATGACATTTCTTTCAGTACTTCAAACTAGTCTCATGCTCAGTTTGTTAGGAAGATTAAGATTTCTTTTCTTTGTTAGAAGTGGCTCTAATGTCTTGGTTGTTTTAAGAGCCTGTTTGTCGATTTGCATGATTGCTAAATTCTTTTTGAACTTTATGAATGTATCAAATATACCTGATCCCCACACTCCCTGCAACCAGAGCTTGAAAGCTTGCTGAAAGTACAGGTGCTTAAACATGGGAAGAAATGCCAGATATAATATGCACCTGAAGTAAAAGAAATAAATTAAAAAACAACAACTCCACATCCTCTTGCAAATACAGTTATCTAGGCATAGTCTCTGTTGATTCCTGGTTTCAGGTAGTTGTTTGAGTTCCATATAATATTATGTTGGCTTTTATTCAGATTGTGTGATTTTCTTTATTTTGGTTGGTGGGCCGGGGTATTTATAGTACAGGACCTAAGAAAGCAATAAAGCAAAGAAAAAAGTGAGAATTCTTAAATATCTGGGCATATTATTGTAGTATTACATATCCTAAAATGTTCAAGATTTAATTTTTGAGCTGTTTAGATGAATCTCTGGAAGCATGGTGATTGTTAGAAAATCATCTTTGATTACTGCTTTATGTAGTTTTCTGTAATAACACATTTTCTGATTGTAAAGGTTTCTATCAATTGGTCATTACCTTGTGGGTTTTGGAAAAACAGTTATGACTGCTTTATATTCAACAGAGGCCCCCTTATCAGAAACACAGTATTCTAACTGATCTCAACAATTTACAGTATTGTCTTCATTTTTGCAAATAAAGGAGGAAAAAGACTCCTATGTATCTTAAAGAATCGTGGGTGTCAGCTCAGGTTCTCACTCAATTAATCTTATGTTTTGAAAATTAAAAAAAAAAATGAAAGGTGCTATTGACAGTGCAGTGTGACAGCTAACAGCCGACAGAGGAACTATAAAAATATAGTAGTCTTCAGTTATTTCACAGAGAGAAAAACAGGCCCAGGCCCTTCAGTGGTTTTGGAGGGCATTGCTGTATTATTATACAGAATAGAAATTGATCTTGATGAGGCATTATCAAGAGGAGTTTCAATGTACTCTTTATCAGCGCTGTCTGTGTGTAAGATTTTCAAAAAGTTTTCATCAGGAATGGTTAGCTTTTTCCCCCTTTTAATTGTTACACTTAAAGAGATATCTTTGATGTACACGGCACACATTCATGGATCACTGATTATGCTTGATGAAGGACTCATTGTGTTTTCCTCTCTTCATAAACTCATGGAAAAATAGGTATCTATAACTTATTTAGCACTTAATATAATTAAAAATGTTATGGGTACAATAACAGAAGAACTACACCAAATGAAAGAGGAAGTTTCCAGAAACATTTAGTAAAGTGTGGAACAGGTTTTTCATGCTCGCTATTGCCCCATATTTTAATATTTCTGAGATTAATTTCCAAAGAAAATAATTGGTCACCAAATATATTGTTTTAAAAAGTGTTTTGTATTTTTTGAGGCAAAGAAATCTTGACACTTTGTGGACAAAGGGAAGGCAATCAATCGTTGAAATAAGATAAAAGATACTTCCGGCTACTTGGGAGGCTGAGACATATGAGGATCGCTTGAGCCCAGGCATTGGAGGCTTCAGGGAGCTATGATCATGCCACTGTCCCCCAGCTTGGGTGACAGTGAGACTCCTTTTTTTTTTTTTTGAGACTTCGTAAGAAGAAAAAAGGATTAAAGATACTTGAACCTTGGTGCCATCCCATGGAGAGGATAAAAACCCTATTTTTCAGATTTCTGCAATGCAGTTTTTTTGGCCAGCTGGCAGTTGTACTTGATCAAGTAGGGGAGGGATGGTGCTGGTTTTATTATATGATGGTCTATTTCTGTCCTAGCATGTTTGGTAGGCAAGCCTCCAGTAACATTTACTGACCACTTACTGTGCTTGCCAGGCAATGTGATAAATGTTTTTTTATGGATGACCTCATTTAATTCTCACTGTAATCCTTTGGGGAGATCATTATTATCTCCAGCTTAGGAAGAGGCTGAAATTCAGAGAAGTTAACTGACTTGCCCAGGGTTAGTTGTGCCTGATGCTGAACTCTGATGTCTTAATTACTATGCTGTGCTGCTTCCTACCCAACTGCGCTCTTTGGGTTTCATGATACGGTGTTTAGTAGGTTTGCCTCACTCTATACAGGAAAACAGTGAAGATTGTAGATGTAAGAATATACAAGAAATACTAAGTGGCTCCTTATTTTTCTGAGAGCTTCTAGTAGGGGAATCTACCTATAATAAATGAAATATAGACCTATCATCCCTTACTTTTATGTTCAGAACTGTGAAACAGAGTGTTGTTCCGTGATATTTACAGATCTGTATATGGTTTTGTACAGTTATACTTCCTGGATTGTTTTGATACTTTCTTACAAGCAGTCCTTGATTGCTCCTTTTATAGACAGTTTATGTAACCTCGTGAACAAGAGTGCATGGCCACCATAATGCCGGAGCTCTCCTTTGTTGTTTTTAGTGTCCTAGTGCTACTAAAGCAGGAATGGTGGTCCTCCCCTCCTGACAAACAACTCCATTTTCAGGGTTTCCTTCTGCCTCCATCCTTCCCTGCCAGCAGTTGCAAGGGTATTCAGAGCTTAGTACTTTTGTTATTATGGGAGTATTTTTCAGGATAGCCTTAGTATTTAAGCATTTTATTTAAACTTATTTTTCTTGTGAAATATGTCCTGGAGGGTTTTATTTTTTTTGTCAGCTGATTTAAAAACAGACTTTAGAATATAACCTGCTTATAAATTAGGACTGCTTGTATAACACATAGAGGTTTGAAGATACTTTTTCTATCAGATTAGATTGAATATTCTTATTAATTTGAATCCTGTGATATATGTGACATTGTGTATGCTGCAGTTAGTTTAACACTTCAGTTGCTATGAAAGCATAATTTCAATAGTATGTAAATTTAATGTAACTTTGGAGACTTAGCGTTGGTTTGTTCATTTTGATGTTAATTTATTTAAATTTTAGATATTTTAAATTAGGTCTGTTTGTGTAGGCCTGGTAATGTATTTTATTCCAATGTCATTATATTTCGAAATTAAAGTTACTTTGAAATAGGCTCCAAGGAGGTGTTAGTTGAATTATTAGTGATGCATTTGGATGCACTGAAAAAGGTATACTTGTCAAGGAATAAACATAATGGAATGGCAGTAGAATCCCTTTATAATGCTGCTGTTACATGGACACTACCTGTTATGAGGACTGATTTTGCGATACCATTTTACTATATAGAGTAATAGTTTCAGGAGCAATAGGTTTTTAATTTATTTTTATTTTTTTAGACAGCGTCTCACTTTGTTGCCCAGGCTGGCGTGCAGTGGTGTGATCTCAGCTTACTGCATCCTCTGTCTCCTGGGTTCAGGCAATTCTCCTGCCTTAGCCTCCTGAGTAGCTGGGATTACAGGCACGCGCCACCACACCCAGATAATTTTTGTATTTTTAGTAGAGACGGAGTTTCGCCATGTTGGCCAGGGTGGTCTCAAACTCCTGACCTCAAGTGATCCACCTGCCTTGGCATCCCAAAGTGCTGGGATTACAGGCATGAGCCACAGTGCCCAGCCCCCTTCCACTTTTTAAGCAACAGTAATGAAACTTATTAAGTTTGGGCTTTCACGATTTGGAGGCTGGGAAGTCCAAGGTCAAGGTGCTGGCATATTCCTTTTTTGGTGAGGGCCCTTTCCTGGCTTTCAGACTATTCCCTTCTCAGTGTATCCTCACATGTCAGGGAAAGGGAGCTTTGGTGTTTCCTTCTCTTCCTATAAGGGTGCTAATCCCAATTGGGGGTTCCACCCTCATGACCTTATCTAAACCTAATAACTTCCCAAAGGTCCCACCTACTAACACAATCACATTGCAGGTTGGACTTCGACATGTATGTTTGGCGGGGGACAGAAACATAGTCTATAACTGGTGTTTTCATAAAAAGCCCATATATCAAATAGTAGTGCGGTGCACAGTAAATAAGTACCCATGGGCATTCAGACTAGAGAAACACTGTTGAGGTGAGACAGCTAGTGAGGTAGAAAGACAGACAATGTGTTATTCATTTTTGTATCTGGCATAATCTGTTCAGGCTGCTGTATCAAAATACCATACCTGGATTAGCTTATACACAACAAATTTATTGATCAAAGTTCTAGAGGCCAGGAAGTCCAAGATCAGGATACTAACAGGTTTGATGTATGGTGAGGACTTACCCTCTGCTTCATAGATGGCACCATCTTGCAGCCTTCTTACTTGACAGAAGGGGTAAACAAGTTCCTTTGGGCCTCTATTATATGGCACTAATTCCATTCATGAAGGCTCCATCCTCATGAAATAGTTGCCTCCCAAAAGGCCGTAATTCTTAATACTATCATGTTGGGATTAGGTTTCAAAATAAATTTGGGGGAGGCATAAACATTCAGACCATAGTAGTATTTTTTTTTCTTTTTGTTTTTTTTTTGAGACAGAGTCTCACTCTGTAGCCCAGACTGGAGTGCAGTGGCAAGATCTCAGCTCATTGCAACCTCCGCCTCCTGGGTCCTGGTTCAAGCAATTCTCCTGCCTCTGCCTCCTGAGTAGCTGGGATTACAGTCACATGCCATCATGTCCAGCTAATTTTTTTTATTTTTAGTAGAGACGGGGTTTCACCATGTTGGCCGGGCTGGTCTTGAACTCCTGATTTCATGATCCATCTGCCTCGGCCTCCCAAAGTACTGGGATTACAGGCATGAGCCACCGCACCCAGCCAATGGTAGTATTCTTAGTGCTGAGTACAGTATCTGAAATGAAGTAGGCATTCAAGAAAGGGACATGGATGAACCTGGAAACCATCATTCTCAGCAAACTGACACAAGAACAGAAAATCAAACACCGCATGTTCTCACTCATAGGCGGGTGTTGAACAATTAGAACACACAGACACAGGGAGGGGAACATCACACACTGGGGTCTGTTGGGGGGAAATAGGGTAGGGACAGCGGGGGTGGGGAGTTGGGGAGAGATAGCATGGGGAGAAATGCCAGATATAGGTGAAGGGGAGGAAGGCAGCAAATCACGCTGCCATGTGTGTACCTATGCAACAATCTTGCATGTTCTTCACATGTACCCCAAAACCTACAATGCAATTTAAAAAAAAAAAAAAGAGCCAGATATAGGTGATGGGGAGGAAGGCAGCAAATCACACTGCCACATGTGTACCTATACAACAATCTTGCATGATCTTCACATGTACCCCAAAACCTAAAATGCAATAAAAAAATAAAAAAAAGAAAGGTATGCTAAAATGGAAGAATGAAAAATCACAGAAATAGATATTTTGAGTTGGCAGGTATCCTAGAGATCAGGTAGTCCAAGTTGCCCAGACCAGTTCAACTCCACTAGGAACATTAAAATAACACAAAGCCATTTTACTCTCATTAAATTGCCAAAAAAAAAGTCTGATAATACCAGCCGTCATTTTCTGTTGAGACTGTAAATAGGTAAATTATGTTGGAGAGCAAATTGACATCATTAACTGAAGTTAAAGATAGCTATATCCTGTGATTGTAACAAATCTCACTTAATATACAGACTCTAGAGAATTTCTCACCTATGTGATGGATTGTATTAGTTTTCTGGGGCTGCCAAAACAAACAAACATAAACTTCGTTGCTTAAAAACATATACATCGATTATCTCATAGTTCTGGAAGCCAGAAATCTGAAATGAAGGTATCGGTAAGGCTCCCCTCCCTGCGATGACTCTAGGAAAGAATCCTTTCTTACCTCTTAATTTTGGGTGGATCCAGAGATTCCTTGGCTTCTGGCTGCATAACTCCAATCTTCCTACTTCATATAGTCTTCTGCTTTTCCTAGTATAACTCTTCTCTGTGTGTCTTTTATAAGTTTACTTGTCACTGGATTTAGAAGTCATTCAGATAATCTAGGACTGTTCTCATTTTGAGATTCTTAATTATATTGCAAAGATCCTTTTTCCAAGGAAGCTCATGTTTACAGGTTCCATGAGTTTGAATATGGACATATTTTTTTGGTGGCCACCATTCAACCCACTATTTCAACAAGTATTTAAAGCAGTGGTCTGTACCAAAACTAACTCCGACCTCCCTGTCATTTGTTCTGGTCTTCTAGTTCCTTGTAGGTCACAGGTTATCTCATTGCTACTTCAGTAATCAAAAATTTGAGGGAAAAGTGATAGTAGCTTTATTTCATTACTTACACATTTCTTGAGACTAGTTTTATGGTCTGGCATATAGTCTGTTTTGGCTAGTGTTCCAGGCTAATGTTCTAGTCGTTATGCTTGGAAAAAAAAAAGATTTGGTCTATATTTGGTTAAAGCATTTCGTAAACATCATTTAGGTCAAGTCAGTTAGTAGTGGTATTCAAGTCTCCTATTTTTAAAAAAATTATTTTTTTGTCTACTTATTCTATCAATTATTGAAGAGGCACAGTGAAATCCCCAATTGTTATTATGGATTCATCTACTTCTCCTTTAGTTCTATCAGTTTTTGCTTCATGATTTGAAACACCGTTGTCATATACACATGGACGGTTTTGTCTTCTTTATTAAATGATCATTACATAATCACAGAATGTATTTCATTATCTTTGGCCATATTCATTACCCTGACTTCTACATTATGTAATTTTTAGCTACTCTAGCTTTTTTATTATTACTATTTGTGTGGTAGTAATTTTGTATCCTTTTACATTTAAACCATTTTTGTCTTTATATTAAAGTGAATCAGGTAGACAGCATATATTTGGGTAATTTTTTAATGCTTTCTGAAAATGTCTGCCTTTTAATTGATATGGTTAATCCATTTACATTCAATACAGTGGGCCCTTTATATCTGCAGTTTTCACATCTGGAGTCTCAACCAATAGAGAATTAGTAGATGTAGAACCTGTGGCTATGGAGGGTTGACCGTAAGGGACGATGGTATTTATTAATATGGCTATATTTATATCTGCTTTCTTTTTTTTTTTTTGAGATGGAATCTCACTCTGTCTCCTAGGCTGGAATACAGTGGTGTAATCTCAGCTCACTGCAACCTCCAACTCCCGGGATCAAGCAATTCTCCTGCCTCAGCCTCCCGAGTAGCAAGGAATTACAGCCACACACCACCACACCTGGCTAACTTTTGTATTTTTAGTAGAGATGGGGTTTCACCATGTTGGCCAGGCTGGTCTCAAACTCCTGACCTCAGGTGATCTACCCGCCTGGGCTTCCTACAGTGCTGGGATTACAAGTGTGAGTCACCTTGCTGGCCTCTTATTTGTTTTCTATCCTGTCTGTCCTTTGTTCCTTTAACTCTTTTTCTTGCCATCATTTGGATTGTATATCATTTTAACTCTTCTATTTGATCTCATGTATTAGCATATTAGATATGCCTCTTTGTTTAGTTTTCAGTGCTTACTATTGAATTTATAATATGCATCTTTAGCTTATGATAGTCTAGCTTTACATAATATATACATTTTTCTATAAGCACCTTGCAGTAGCCTGCTTACATTTTGTACCCCCATTTTTTATTCTCAGACATTTTACTTCTATATATGTTATAGGTCTCACCATACATTGTATTTTTTTCTTTAATTTATTATTTGGGGGAAAAATAGACTATAAACAGTGTCTTATATATTCTCACACTCTATTTCACACACATTTCTGGCACTCTTCATTCCTTTATGTAGATCTCAGTTTCTATCTGGTATTAATTTTCTTTAGCCTGAAGAATTTTCTTCAAGTATTTATTATAGTGCAGGTTTCCTTGCATTGGACTTTGCACTGTATATTTTCAGATTGTGTTTGTCTATAAATGTATTTATTTCACCTTCATTTTGGAAGGACATTTTCACAGGATGCATAATTCTAAGATGATAGGTTTCTTTTTTTTTTTTTTTTTTTTTTTGGTTTGTTTTCTTTCAAAATGTTTAAAGATTTCATCTATTGTCTTGAGTTGCATTTTTCTTTTCATTTATAAAAGAAAAGAGGTTTAGGCCAGGTGCAGTGGCTCATGCTTGTAAACCTAGCACTTTGGGAGGCCGAGGCGGGTGGATCACCTGAGGTCAGAAGTTTGAGACCAGCTTGCCCAATATGGTGAACCCCCATCTCTACTAAAAACGCAAAAATTAGCCAGGCATGATAGTGCACACCTGTAATTCCAGCTACTTGGGAGGTTGAGGCAGGAGAATTGCTTGAACTTGAACAGAGGTTGCAGTGAGTACAGATCGTCCCACTGCACTGCAGCCTGGGCAACAGAACGAGACTGTGTCTCAAAAAATAAAATAAAA